TTGGATATCTTTATTTACACGGAGCTCTCTTAAGGCTTTTGCTTCGTTAGAGCTAATATTTACTATTGGAACTTTGCTATTCTCAATTATTTTTGCAACCTCGAGTCTGGTCATCTCTGCCTCATTATGTGGAAGGAGTCTTACTGCTGATTCTACCTCAGCAATTATCTCATCCACTGGAATTGTGCATGGGGTAACGGCAAAGTTAAGGCCTTTAGAAAGAACAGAGATCATGTCACTGGTTAAAACACTGTTAGTCAAGTTTATTACGGTTGTGTTTTTAAATTGTTCGTTTTTAGTAGGGATTTGTTTATTATGAAGTCTAGAAAATGTATTCATTTGGTTAGTTTTTGTTAGATTAAACACATTATCAGCCGATTGTTGTGTTATGGTATCAATTATATTCCAATAATGCATGGATACACTTGCTTATATCTAAGTGTAACTGCTTTAGCGATTCCGAAATGTAAGATAATTCACTCCTGTTGTGCTGTATTCTCTCTATTAATAATAAATCGCTAGCTTTATATAGTATTTGGTTAGCTTTAGAAGACTTTATGTGATGTGTTATTTTAACTGCGTTTGGTATTACCTTTGAGTTAAATGATGACGTCACCCTGCTGCTCTATTTAAGACCGGGAGCAAGTGAGGGCTTTACCAATCTGGCGAATTGCCCGATGATGCTGGATGTAATTACCAGCGAAACGTCGTACTCAATTTTTAAATGATGTTGATTCACTCTTCAACACACCGGTGGGCTAAAGTAGTGAACTATTTGCCCTTTGTAAACGTGACACATTTTTTACTGTTTGGCTGTGTCGGGTGGTGGAGGGTTACGACACATTTATTATAAATGACGCGATCTAACCCAAAAAAACCTTTATTATGAATGATATTGGCCGAGAAAGCCTACGTGTTAAAATGTGTATCCCATGTCCTTTTCGATGGCTTGTTCCGCGCGTGCAATGCACTGTTGTAACGAGGATGCATTCGCGGTTGGCGCGTGGTCAGGTACTTCTCAACCGTGCTGGGCAACCGGTTTGATCATTGTGCCGAGACTCTCATGCCCACGCTCTTCAACCTGGTGCCCAACAGCGCCAAGGTCATGGCGACCTCAGGGGTGGCTGCCATCCGCCTCATCATACGCGTGAGTGCCCTTGAACGGGAGGGGTTCAACAGTTGAGTACGTATAGGAATTTTACAATTGAGTACTTGGGTGGCGAGGTGTTAACTACCTCGCCTGGTATACAGGAGGTTTGTGGGTTCGATGACGACCCTGCGAGATGTTCACTACCTCGCCTAGTATACAGGAGGTTTGTGGGTTCGATCCCGACCCTGCGAGATGTTCACTACCTCGCCCGGTATACAGGAGGTTGTGGATTCCATCCCGACCCTGCGAGATGTTCACTACCTCGCCTAGTATACAGGAGGTTGTGGATTCCATCCCGACCCTGCGAAATGTTAAATACCTCCTTTGGTATACAGGAGGTTTGTGGGTTCGATCCTGACGCTGCGAAATGTTAAATACCTCCTTTGGTATACAGGAGGTTTGTGGGTTTTATCCCGACCCTGCGAGATGTTAACTACCTCGCCTGGTATACAGGAGGTTTGTGGGTTTTATCCCGACCCTGCGAGATGTTAACTACCTCGCCTGGTATACAGGCGGTTGTGGATTCGATCCCGACCCTGACGTCTGTATAATTGTAGTTTTGCATGTTCTCCCCGTGGTCGCGTGGGTTTTTCTCCTGGCCCTCCGGTTAATCCCTCCACATTTAGAATCGGCGTCGCGCGTTGAGATCATTTAAGGCCGCTATAAACTTGCACGTGATGATACGGCGCTTCGCCGAGCAGTCATTTGTGACAGATAGCCAGGTCGCCTCTGAAAAAGAGCGACGCAGCAGCTCAGTGAGAAGGGGGGGGGGGTGGGGGCCTTACCTGGTGAGCAAATTCCGTTGGAGAACGTTCGCCTCCTTTTGATCTCCCGACAGCACACGCACACGGCGCGGCTCATCCCACTCATCACCAGCAACTGTTCTTCCAAGTCTGTGGCCGTTCGACGGTGAGCTTTTCCTCTGCCGCCCTCCAACGCCGCCACCACCACCGCGCCGGGGTTCCTGCCTGGCCGCATAGTGCAGATGCAGGTCGCAGGCTGGCTGAGGACATTGTCCGTTCGATATTTGTTTTTTGTCGCGTGGAGAGGCAGAGCCCCGCGTCCGGTTGCGTGTTTGTCGAACTTCTGAGTCGTCATGTCTGATGGCAAAGTAGTGCAAAGTGTACATCGCGTGCGTTCCCGGTGGATTGTGGGACCCTTCTTCTTTCGTATGGGTTGATGTAGACGCAGGGCAACAATGGCAATTTCACATGCAGGTGGTCAAGGCCAGACACAGCCGCGTCAGGAGCAGTGGAGTGTATCGCTGTTGTGTCTCCTTTGTATTTGTGGATCGGGCATTGCGTCGCTGTGTATTGTGCGGTCTGTTTTGGACGACGACAGTCGCACACTAGAGAGTTTTCCATTTGGGACATTGGGTAGGCACATCTGCTATGGTTTGTGCATTGGATGCGGTTTAGGGTGGACCATGAGCTTCGGGGCAGATAAAAACCGGGCATCTTCTGCGTTGGGAATAATGAATGTGCACGTAGATAATAAAATAAATACCCCCCCGGCATGGTTGTGTTTATTTACCCAAAACAACACTAACCTTGAGGTCCATCAGCCTGCTTTTGCGTTGAGCAGCATTTGTTTGGGCAGGCAAGCCCTGGATCAGTTTTGATTTCCGAAGTCTCGTCAGCAGAGCGTGGGGCCTGTTTGGCAAATGCCGCTGGGTTGCCAGGTGTTCTAGGCAAGACCGCTCCACGAATACATTGGTGGGGAGGGGCCTGGTCAATGCGTTACAGCGGCATTGTGTAAAATCTATACAATGGCCCTTTCCTGGTGAATTCATAACATTGATGCGGTGAGGCTCAGTGAGGGCTTTTTATGTTAAAACACCATTTGTTAAATTTACACCAATATCCATAATAGAGGTTTGTTGGGTTGGATCGTGTAAATATAAATGCCTCGTTAAACCCACCACCATCCGCAACAGCCAATTACTAAGGTTTGTCACGTAAACAAGACATGCCAATTCGTTACTAGTACAGCACACCGGTGTGTTGAAGAGTAAACCCACAACCAGAATTGTAGATGTAGGTTTACGTGACGAACCTTACTAATTGGCTGTGTCGGGTGGTGGCGGGTTTAACGACACATTTGCAAGGTCTAACCCAAAGAAACCTCTGTGATGGACGATTTGTTAACACTACACTAACAGTCTGACTCCGACCACCCTTGCACGACGATATTTGTACTTGCTACTCCGCAAATACTGGAGGAAGTCCACAACTTACTCTGAAAACAATGACTCTTCCTCCACTGTGTGGACCAGAGGTTCACTGAAAGGGATCTCGGAGGGTAGCTCTCCGACATCCACTTCCGTAGCCCCGTTCCGTGACGCGTCGCTGCGCAAAGGGTTCCCAATGGATCATCTCATCTCGAGACGTTGACGCTACGATAAAAGAGCAACGAAATTCCTCGTCGTATTGATTCCTTACGTGAAAATGTAATTCCATGCAAATGCATCGAATAAGGCTCGAAATCTGTCATTTCCGTTCGATTTCTTCGGTTGTGACTCGGTGATCTGTTGTGGTTTGTTTCATAAAGGAGATGTTTTGAGTTCATGGACCTGTTGCTACAAGTCTGGCAGATCAGCTCACTTGAGCGGTAAGTCTTCATGAAAGTTGGCCCGATGATGTATAGTCGGGAGGCCACGTTTCGATTGCTCATGTCATTTGGCTCATTCAACGTTTCTCAAACTCTGGATCCCCGTGCCAAGGGGAGGGGTGTTTGTGACTCATTACACACAAAGTGCTTGGCAAAAATGAACCAGAATACCTTTGCTGATCTCGTCAGGGAGCATGAAGCATCACGCGAAGTCCCGTCATCCTCGCAGCGCCGCCTTTTGGCTGACCATCGACCAAAAGCCGGTCACCGCATCGCGCACTTTCAGATGCGCTGCTGCGGCCGTCTGGAACGCTCTTCCGATATTAGGAAGCCACTTTTAAATAATCTAGATTGAAAGTAATGTATTTTTACAGATTTTTTTGTGTTTAGTTTGTTGTCCTTCCCTCACATCTCCAGTTAGCACGGTTGGCTACGTACGGTGCGAAAGAAGTTCAGCATACATAAATATCTGTCATTTTCTGCGCTCATGAGTATTCAGGTATTCTTGCTCATCTTCCGTTTACAGCCCTGTAAACCGGTGGTGGAAACTCCGCATTTTTATGGCGCTGGCACACCTAATCGTGGGGAAAAAAAAACCACTGTTGACTTCCACACAAAGTGGTACTCATTTTATCAACACCCCAGAGGCATGATTGGCGCGAGTCAGCGGCCAACCAGGATTGTGAACTCGCAAACCTTGCGATTGTGAGCCGCTTGCTCTATCGCTGAGCCACGTGGCCGTTGCGGTGCCTCTGGCAGATGGCACTCGTGCAGCCTTTTCTACTATCCGCTGCTGGATGAAGGCCTGCCCCACTCTGCTCACTGCGGGGTTGGCGAAGGCATGGGGGCGCGAGCTTCTTGTTACCCTTATCGTCGCCGATTAAATACCTGCGAGGACGAGCGAGCGAGCGCGCCAGGGAGGCCCCGCGTGAAACCCGTGCTCGTGCGTATTTTTCTTATTCCGCCCCCCCCCCCTTCCCCCCCTGTTTTCCACCAGGCACGTCACGGTGCTGTCGGACACCATAAAGAAGGGCATGCACGACGCGGATGCTGATGCCAGGGCGGAGGCCAGGAAGTAAGTTTGGACGGTGCGGAACGGGCAAACGAGGGCGTCGCTTGGCGCGTGGCAAGATTCGCCACTCAAGAATTTGCCTGCCGAGTCATTATAGGCGCTCTAAACCCCACAGCCGACCTCGTGAGGCGTAAAATAATTGCCTCCCGAGACACACAGGCCTATATATATATAGTTTATTAAAAAAACATCAGATTCTGCGAAGGGACGAACGCTCGTACCGAGTCGGCGTTCACTGTGACAACTCGCGGTTCACATGTACAAAGGCCAGACATTAACCGAGTTTACCGTTCTGTTGCGCGACAGGGCGTACTGGGGCTTCCGGTCGCACTTCCCCTCCGAGTCCGACGCCCTCTACGCGGCGCTGGAGCCCAAGTACCAGAAGTTGCTGAGCGGCACGCAGCTGCACAGCTCCTCCAACTCTCACTTCGACCGCTCCGCGTCGAGCTCGCAGGAGAGCCTCACGTGAGTGACGTGCACGGGAGGTCGTGGGTTCGCACCTGACCCCTGACGACGCCTGTGCAATTGGGAGTTTTGCGCGGTCTCTCTCTCTCTGTCTCTCCCTCCCCGTGGTCACGTGGATTTTTCTCCGGCCGCTTGAAGCAAGCTAAAAATAACACCGCCGCGCACGCACGGATCGAGTTGCACCTTTTGACGTGCGCGCTTGTCTTCGGGGAAGGAATAAAATCATCAGCACGGAAGCCAAACGGCATCTGTCAGGGCTAATGCAGTATTTGCAAAAGCAGTTGTCATTTTTGGTTTGGTCTGGCATGTGTCCCCAAGTACGCCACGGTGGCGAGATGTTAACTACCTCGCCTTGTATACGAGAGGTCGTGGGTTCATTTCTGACCACTGTCAATGCCTATATATTGGAGTTTGCGTTCTCTCTCTCTTCCCATGGTCTGTGGATTTATCTCCGGGTCCTCAGGTTTTTCCCCTACACATTTTCAAATCAACGTGCGTTTAGAGTGTTTGGCTGCTACTATAAATTTACAGCTGATAAGCCACTTTGTTGAGCTCCCATTTGTGATAGCCAGATCACTTCTGAAAAAGAGTTATACAGTAAATCCTTGGATTGCGAGTAACTTGGTCTGCGAGTGTTTTGCAAGACGAGCAAAATTTTGTAAATAAATATTAATTTGATAAACGAGCGAGGTCTTGCAATACGAGTAGTACGTATACGCTTCGTCTGCCGAGCGTCACGTGATCACAACTGATATACGAGTGCTTTGGATTACAAACACTTTTCCGGAACGAATTACGCTCGCAATCCAAAGTTTTACTGTATAGCTCAGTGGGCCTTACCTGGCAAAATAAAAAAAATGTTGAATCAGTTGAATGTTAGTTTGAGGTGGTTTCCCACGGCTCCGTTTCCTGCTTGTACAAACTTCAAAACGGTTGATTTTGCAGTGGGGGTTGGGGGGGGCTGTAGGGGGGTGGAGGAGGGCTGTGGCTATAGGAAGAGGGAAAAAAAAATATGACCTCTGACCCCATGTGTGCCGCTGCATTGGAGGTGATGGGTGGGGCCTGGCGATATCATGGACATCATCATCCTGGTGTGTGTGTGTGTGTGGGTTTTTTTTTCTCCGAGTTTCTCTCCTTCGGGAGGCAGAATGCGTGGGGGGGCGGCCGAGTTGACTCGTGGTCCTAATCGACCCGTCATCCCAGCTCTTAAGTGTTCAGCTGGAATGTGCGTTCGACACGTGGCGTAGGGAGCGGCGGTGCAGCGGTTAGCGCGCCGCGCTACGAACACGCCGGCCGCAAAACGAGTACCTGGTGCGATGTGTAAACATCGCTGCCGGGGAGCAGTGAGGACACTTCTCTCCTCTTAAGCGCTGTGTTCGGACCTCTGTCTGCGGAATTTATGTGCCCCTTTCCATTTTGACGGTGCGTGCTCTGCAACGGGCTCTTGTCCAATGGAATTTTTTTTTGTATAATTTGCTACTGGGGAGACAAAGGCGGCCGGGTGTGGTGCTCGATAACGGCACTTGCCCCAACATTCTGTTGAGGCTATAGGAGGCGGGGGGGGGGGGGGGGTCCTTCATCTTTGTGTTTGATGATTGCATGGTGTGGCGTGCGTTTTGTTCCTGGACGTGGTGCTGGTACCTGCCAATGGCACTCGCCCCAACAGTCTGTCGAGGCTATTGGAGGGGGGATCCTTCGTCTTTGCGTTTCATAATTGCGTAACGTGGTGTGTGGTGTGCGTTTTGTTCCTGCAGGAGGGTGGTGATGCCCAAGCGCGTCCCCGTTCGACAAGCCGACGTCTCGGCACCACGAGGTGCATCGCTCGCGAGTGTCGACCGAGGTCGAAGGCATTCGTACATCTGCTGCGTAACGTCCCTCGGCCCACGCCCATCTGTCCGTCCGTCCGTCCGTCCGTCCGGCCATGTGTCTGTCCTTCCGTTTGTCTCTCTGTCTACCTTGAGCACGGGGGGCGCCCAGTTACGCTTTCGTTCCTTTTCCCTTCTTGATCCCCTTGACTGGAACCAACTCCTGCTGGAGGACACCTTAGCAGTCATCTTTACTATAACTTCCCTATCTCTTCTCCTCTGCCCATCCTGTTGCTACTGCTACTCCCTGCCCTACCGCCTCCAGCTACGACCAGGCCTGCCCCAAACCCTATCATGACTCCTATAACTACTCCTAACACTACCCTATAATTACCCCAACCCCTATCGCTACGCCAATCGCTACCCCAACTCCTATCACTACCCCCATCACTATCCCAAGCCCTATAACTACCCCAACCCCTATCACTACCCCTATAACTAACCCCAAGTCCTATCACTACCCTTATCACTACCCCTATCACTACCCCTATCGCTCCCCCTATCACTACCCCAACCCCTCCTTAACCACCTCCACCTTTCCTCCTGTCACCGCAACTGCACCACGACTTTTAACAACAAGCCCGCTCTCCTCTTTTAACCACTTATCACCTTGCGTACAACTTGACAATTGTTGTGATGCGCCTTTGGACTAAGGCGCTGTATCAATCCGTACGGGGCACGGTAAGGTTCCGGCGGCGAGCTCAAAGTTTGACGCTGTCCCTCCCGTCGCGACGTGTGGCCCAGCCGGAGCGTCTGTGGCGAGGCGGCGGTCGTCAGCGGTGGCCGCGGCGGCGACGCCGGGGTCCGGCCTGCACCGCTCGCGCAGCGACATGGACGTGAACGCCGCCACCTGCGCCTCGTCGCGCAAGACCTTCGCGGTGCCGGCGCCCGTCTCCTCCGCCACGCTGGGTCGGTCCGCCTTTCTTACGCGGTCGCACGTTTTGGGCACGTGTGCGAAGGAAGGTCGGGCATCCGTGCGACGCTCCTTCGCTGGCCGTGCGTGACGGATGAATGAATTCCTTGCGCCTTCCAGCTCTGAACTTCCAAACATTGTTTCAGCGTGGGGTTGCCTCCGTTGGCCTCGCGGGACTGTGTGTTTAAATATGCGTACAGTAAAACCTTGGATTGCGAGTAACTTGGCCTGCGAGTGTTTTGCAAGACGAGCAAACATTTTAAATAAATATTAATTTGATAAACGAGCGAGGGTCTTGCAATACGAGTAGTACGTGTAGTACGCTTTGTCTGCCGAGCGTCACGTGATCGCAGCTGATATACGAGTGCTTTGATATACGAGTGCTTTGGATTACAAACACGTTTCCGGAACGAATTATGCTCGCAGTCCAAGGTTTTCCTGTAATAGTAATAATAATGAACGGCCCCTTATCAAATCGCTGGCCTCCGCACGCGCCGTTTCGGCCGTGTGTGTTGCTTCACCATACTTGACGTTTACCGAGAGCAATTTGGTGATGGGGCGGGGGCGGCGGAGGAGGGGGGGGGACAGACAACGACGGTTCAGATGTCAAAAACCGTAGACAGGTGTGACAGTGCGAGTGCGCTATACCGTCGCGCCACCGCTGCACGGCACGGTGGGCGTCAACTGAAAACGCGGTGACGTGACGTGCATGCGCGCGCGCGTTCCTCTTTCTGATCGCCCAGGCCGCGTGCGGTCGCGACCTTCGACCTGCGGGATCATGAGCAGCCCGGTGACCCCCACGGACGCGCGGGGGCGGACGCGCGCCAAGGTGTCCCAGTCACAGCGTGAGTCTCTTTAAGTGCCGGGTACGCACCACACCGGGTGGAAGATGTCGGTGGGTGGGCGTCAAACCAAGGGGACAAAGCATCGTCAAGTCGGAGTCCAAGTGGTTTCCTGCTCGTATGGCCATTGAAGCATTGCTGCACATTTCCCGTTTACAGAATTTAACCAGTGGTGTCAAATCCACATTTTAATATTGATCTGAATCAGAATTATTTCTTTAGACTGGAGGAATCTGATGAGCCACGAAGCTCTTTTTCACAGTTGGCCAGTAGGGACGGGTCACCAAGTTGCAACATCAAACAATACATAAAAAACGATAGGAGTGCAAAGTAGAGAAAAAGTAAGCATGTCACACATTTTTTTTTTTTAAACATAAATGAAGTCTGTAAGAGTCTAACCCTTGCACAGCCGCTGTCGACTTTTGCCAAAAAGTCAGTTCTGATTTTATTGATCCCCAGAGGGATGATGGGATGAATCGGCCCACACGACCAGGATTTGAACGCGTAACAAACTGACTGCGAACCTCTTTAACTACTACCGCTGAGCCGCCTGGCCGGATATATTTTCTCTGAGAGTCCTTACAAGCCCTGGCGAGTAGGTTCACACTCGGGTCTAGGCCGGTGGTCACCCGACATTTCGGGAGCTGCGGGACGATTTCTCAACCCTCGTTATTCTTGGTTCTTTCGGTAAAGTCGCGTAGAAGGGAAATAATAAAATAATACAAACAAAACAAAAAAAATTCTCACGACGTTTCGGTTGCAACACAAGCAATCATCATCAGGTGTGGAAACGACAGCAAGAAAATTATTTTTAAAAAATGCAAATTTTTCAATCGTGACTTTACCGAAAGAACCAAGAATATGAATCCCCGCAGTCACGAAAGCTTTTAAATCGAAATTCGAAACCCTCTGTTATATGTTCACCGTGCAGCAAACAAAAACAAAGGATTGTACGTGCCATGGTTTGCGCAGGGACCACTTTCCAGAGCCTTGCGAGAACCACCAGTGGCCTACGCCCACCAGGCTTGGAACCACCGGTTTTAGCTAGACCGCCCATCAGCGACTCCCAAAAACGATTTTATTTTACCAGTTGAAGCCCGCCAAGCTATTCGTTCTTTTCAGAGGCGAGCTGACCACAAGTGATGGCCCATCGGAGTGGCTTATATCATCGTCGCCGTCATCCTCAGACGTGGTGAATTTAAAACAGCAGCCTAATAATCTGAACGCGAGTTGATTGCCAATGCGGGGAGGGGGTGGGGGGGGCATAATAAGAGGAACCTGGAGAAAAAGCCACGTGACCACCATGGGGCGGGGGGGAGGGAGGGAGAGAACAAATAAACAGCCACACATCGCCAGGGGTCCGGGATCGAACCCACAACCTCCTGCATACCGGTGCGAGGGCGGTGACATTTCCTTAGCCGCCCTGCCCTCGCCGTGTGTTTTTTTTTTCGCAGCCGGGAGCCGGTGCGGGTCGCCGGGCCGCGTCACCGGCGCCGCTCGGAGCGTCGCGGGCGCCGTGCCGGGCGGAGTGGCGCAGCGCGTGCCCGTGGTGCCGTCGCCGGGCGTGGCGCGCAAGCAGCACCGCGTGCCGCGCAGCCAGGGCGGCAGTCGCGACAGCAGCCCCTCTCGCTCCCTGCGCCGTGAGTCCTTGAGCGGTTCGGCCACGGAGGGCGCCGTCATTCGAACGTCGTCGGTGAAAGACGAGTGACGATCGTGCAAATGACCGTATGTGTACGTAACTCGTGGACTTGTATTCGTTTTTTTTCGTTTGATTGGTAATTGGTTTCGTGAGTAACGCGGGGAGGGACAATACGAGTGCACGTTTTTTTTTTATTATTTGGTGACTAGCACGCAGCGCTGTGATCCAGGAGATGGGAACATTGGTAAGGGGTAAGGCAAGAGATTTATGAAGGAAACGAAGGGAACGGTGGGGTGGGAGATTGCGGGGACGATATCGGTCGCAAATATATTCGTCATCAGGGTGGTTTTTTTTTGCATTTGTTAGCGCCTTAATATATAGAGGACCGCAGAGCTTGGAGGGAAAATGTGGCGATGGCTCACGACCTGGCCGCCGCCTTTTCCGCTCGTCTTAGTCCCTCGCACCCCTTGAGTCGTTCTGCCATTGTTATGTTTATCATTCCTAAGCTCTAGCACGGTGGTTATTTGCAGTGTCACGCGGGAGCCGTATCCCACGACCGAGCATGAGCCAGGGCTGCAGTCGGGACAACAGCCGGGACGCCAGCCCCGTGCGGGGATTCTCTGCGCTTGGTGAGTTGCTTCCTGCCCTCGCCGACCGTGCGGTCCAAGCAAACAGAGATAAAGATCCCCCGTATGGCCTTTAACAGACTGTTGGAGCAGGTGCTGTTCGCGAGTAGCACCTATGAAGGCCGGCACGGCACACGAGGGGGTGGGTATCCAATACCACGCCAGGCCCCCTTTGTCTCCCTCGTGGCAATATTTACACACCGCACCAGGCACTCATTTGAGGCTGAGTCGACCTAGGGGAGGGCCAGGAACGGTTCAGATAACCATAATCGGTGTTGGCCGTGAGCGGGAATCGAACTTGGGTCGCCGGGTTCGTAGTGTACCGCGCTAACTGCTACACTGCCGCCCCACACACACGGCGCGAAGCTCCTAGGCTCTCTCGCTTTTCTCTTGTCTCTCCTCGGCGTCCGTGAGTTCTGCCGCGGTCAAGAGGTCATCACCAACTTGAGAAGTGCTGACGATGAGGCTATCCCAACGGGCAGCAGTGAGCCAAAGAGACAGCTGTAGTCCGATTTTGCCCTCGTTAGGACTCGTCGGTACAGTTCCTTTATCAACGCTCACCGTTGTCCCTTTTGACCCCGGATGCCAAACACAGAGAGGCCTTTCCTTCGCACGATGGGGACCCCCTCTCCTCCCCACCCCATTGAGCTGGTGGTCTAAACAGTAACACGGCCACACGTTGAGCTGTTGGCGCAGACAAGGCCAAGATCACCGTACGCGCAGAGTGGTGTGGCCACGTGACGCGCACGCTAGGCCTGGATCGCGTGACGTTGCCGAGCGGGTTAGCTCGCTCGCCGCTTGCTGTTGCAGATGTTCACGGTTCGAATCCGGCAGCCGGCCCCCCTGGTTACGAGTGCGGGTGTCATAGCCGTGGCGTTAATAGCGCACTGCGCGTCGTCTGCTCCGCTCACAGTGGACGTTAAAGATCCCCTGACGTCATTCGCAAGAGCAGGCCCATCGTGTCCCGGCGTCAGTCCGAAAATAACACCGCATTCTACTCGATAGGGATTATGCACAGCAGAAATCATCGCCCTCTGTTGTCAAACTAATGCCCCCCCCCCCCTCACCCCCAGGTCACTCTTGCGAAATGAAACTCATCCTGGTCTCTTGAGTTCTCACCACCTGGTTAAACAAAAGCAAAACTTGAGAACGTGGTGGGAAGTTGTGCCTTCATGCTGTCCGCGAACGAGCACGCCTTTGCGAGTGTGTTTCTGTCTCGTACAGCTATCTGGCGACCGGCACGCTGTCTGATTTCACTTGCCTGGCTCTTTGCTGTTTTCCCAACAAGGTAGCTGCCCTGTACCCCTTCTGCTTCCTGTCCTTGCCGGCATTATTAACCAGCACTCTGCTTGCAGTGTCTCAACGGCACTCTCACTCCACCAGCTCCCTCTTCCCCTCCGACTCACTGCGCAAAACAGGTGACGCGTCGTTAATCCTTTGCCAGACACTGCTTCACTTTGCCCCCCCCCCCGCCGCCCCCCACCCGCCTCTGCCACCACCTCCCCTCCCCCACATCGCTCTCCCCCACATCCGCTCTCCTTCACTTTCACTTCCCGTTTTCGTGACGCTCGTTGTGTTCAATGGGCAATCGACGTTTCCATCGATCGCGGTGGATTTAAGCCGCGCGCAATACAGGGTCGTGCCCTATCCGTTCGTGTGTGAAAAATGACAACGCATATCATTTTGCATGCCGAAACGATATGCCGATGCACATGCAGATTTGTCAAGGTCAAAATTGACCACAAGTTAATAAATTACGCATAGCAATCATCCCCCCCCCCCCACCTACTGGCGGGCCAAGTGCTGAGTCATCTTGTGCCTATCTGGAGAGCCGCCACTGGGTGTGCCCTTTCAAATGTTTGAGATGAGACGTGATGTAAATGCTCTGCATCGCCAGATAATCTTGCGCTGCTTGTACCATGATGCTAGATGCACGTCATTGCCATTCGGAACTTGTCCGTGTGCACCCTTGTTGTTGCGTTGTTTTGTTAACTGTTTTGTGTTGTTGCTGTACCCAGGTTTCTGTAATGTAATGTTACTTGCCGACCCCCTTACTGGACATCTGTGAAAAAAATAACCTGGTAGCTCATCCGATTCCTCCAGTTCTAAATAAACATTCTTGATTCTCAACCACAGTTGCCCCCATCGAAAAAGAGCATTTATTGGCCAAAGTGAAACCCTTAACTCACCCTAAATAAGTTGACCGGAGCGATGCTGACTGCGGAGGTTGCGTGCGTGTGCGTGTGTGTCTCTCGTGTCCGTGGCGCCCCCCCACCGTGTGTGAGCAGTGGCTGACCGGTTTGGGTTGGATCAGGCAGCCTACCTTCCGCCCTCCCTGCACGCCATGCGGGTCCTCAACACCAGCCCTGAGATCGAAGCTGCCTTTGCGGACGCCCTGGTATGTGCCCGTTTTGTTGTATTCTTATGTTGAACTTCTTTTGCACGGTACGTATCCAACCGTGCTAATCAGAGTGTGCTAGGGAAGGACAACAAATTGAACAGAAAAGGTAGTTCTGAAGCAATTAGTTTTAAATTTATATCTAAAAGTACATAGCTCCAGTGGCTTCCTAATATTGGAAGGAGGAACGTTCCAGACGGCCGCAGAAGCACATCTGAAAGCGCGCGATGCAGTGACCGTCTTTGTGCGATAGTTATTATTCATAATATTTTGGCTGTTGTAATTGGCTGTGATTTGCAGCATGAAATATTTTGCATAGGATGAACACAATTGCTCACGATATTTGCCCAACAAACTGCAGCTTTACAATTCTTCTTGAAGTTTGATGTCGGCAAAAACGTTTCGGAGCGCGGGGTTTCTTTGCTCCTTTTGTCGAACGGACGCGTGTTCATTCCACTGACACAGTGCCGAGCGTACAATTTAAAATAACGATTCGTAATATAGTTTATGTTGGGGGTTAGCGCCACGTGTGAGTTTAAATATCAGAGCTGCGGATCTCGGTCATGCTGAAAAGCAAACTCTGGAGATTACACCCAGCAATCATCAGATGTTAGCAAGGCCAAAGTTGGGTGAGGGGGGGGGGGTTCATTTTATAATCAAGGTGGCTGTGTGTGTGCGTGCATGAGACCAGATCTGTTATACGTTTATTGACCCCCGGGGCACACGGTTTGGTGTGCATAATGTGAACAACCTTGCTCTTTCTTCACTGAACCTACCTCCCGTTGTGGTTGCTGCGTTCAGCTGTTCAGAGTGTCCATCAGAAAGGTATTGCTCTGGATTCCCTTGGCTTTAAACGTAGCAGCGCGGGGCTATCGTCATAATCGTGATTGTGCGCCGCGTGGTTTGTCTGATGGAGTATTCTAAAGGCAAGCGAACACGGTCTTCATTCTTTTTTGCGTGTGCGCCAAGTTGGTGTTTTCATATGCATTCATCGTCATTGTCTCTAGCATCAGCTGTTGTCTCTCCATTTCTGGATGAAAGCCCTCTCACCCTGCCGATGCCACCGTCACCGGTGCTGCGATGCCGACGATCCGTCTGGCTTACGCCACGCTCACCGGTGCTGCGATGCCAACGATACGTCTGTCTGACGCCTCCCTCACCGGTGCTGCGATGCCTACGATCCGTCTGGCTGATGCCACCATCCGTATCTCTCGCACCCCGAGCCGATCTCACCGTCACTGCCGTCTTCCGCCGCGGGCCTCCTCTCGGGCGCGTTCCCCTCTCCTTCGGCTGCCACTCCATGGTCGGGTATCCACCGTTGCCCATCGTCCCGTCCAGCGGTGACGATGGGCAACGAACCCACACCGTAATGTTTGCCATCTTGCCCTCGTTCCCCAGATCCATGCGTTCCGCTTTCTTTTCGCTCGGTGAAAATGAGGGCCATGCGTCTTGTCACGCTCTTTTTTTATTTGGTGTTTTCTTTCTCGGTTTTGGTCATCATCCGATGATTTCTGACCCGTGCATCACAGCCGGAAAGCCGTGCACTTGTTCGCCAGCTACAGCTGACGGGCACACATCGGAATCCCGGCTCGTTCGTATAATTTAAACTACATTTTTATTTTATTTTATCAGGTGAGGCCCAAAACGTAGGCTTTCGCGACTAATATTATCCATAATAGAGGTTTTTGGGTTGGATCGCGTTATATAAATGTGTCCTTAAACTCGCCATGCCAATGATCTGTTTCAACAAAGCCAATCAGCAAAGTTTGTCACTTTCAAAAAACTTGCCAATACGTTACTAGTTCGGCACACTGTTGTGTTGGAGAGTAAACCTACAACATTTATATTTCTAACCCCCAAAAACCTCTTACACTGAGCTTTATAGCTCTTTTTCAGAAGCAACCTGGCTATCATAATGATAGCTCAACGAGAAGCGGCTTATCGTCGCGTGGAAATTCATAGCAGCCGCATACCCTGAATGCACGACGTTGATTCTCAATGCTGAGGGGGAAAAACCGGAGGACCCGGAGAAAAATCCACACGACCACGGGGAGAGAGAGAGAGACACGCAAACTCCAAACATACCGCAAGCGGCAGCGTCGGGATCGAACCCACGTCCGTCGCTCTTCCGCGATGACCCCCCCCCCTGCGAGATCACGACGAGGGGCATCCTCAGGTGGCCTGGCCCCGCGCTTGGCACGCTTCTGGCAAAGAGCTTTATAGCTCATCGGATTCCTCCGGTATAAATAAAGATTCTGAAGCGGGCGTGCTGGCCTGCCACGCCGGTCGGGGGCGCGGTGACGTGAGACTGCCGCGGCCGCGCGGGAGGAGCCGGCTTCTTGCCCGCTTCGTGAACCGGGCCGGTTCGCTTCCCGGCGGTCTGTATTCCTCACCCCCATCGTGATCGACCCCAGCCCCCCCCACCCCCCCCCCCGCGCCCCCCCCCACCAACCCGTTTGGACCTCGCATGAAGGCGAAAGCTGAAACTTGGAATATTGACAGCATTTTTATGAACCCATCTTGCAATTCGTCTTGGACCCTAGAAGTGTTGAGAATTGTCTGAGCTCGGTGAAATGGGCCAACGCTTTCTTCTGCGTGGCCGTTTCGGTCGGGTCAACAAGTCTGCGAGCCTTTTTTAATTGTACACTTGGGCCAAAAGTCATATATATATATATGCCGTAGGAAATTCGTGCAGTCCTCCCTTTGCAAAAGAGACGTTGGTCCCAATCGGCTTGTTGACCCTGGTTATAAATAAAGATCACGTACGCCTCACACGTGTACACCCAAGAGGCACATAACCCAACAAAAATAATTACAATAAACATAGTTGTACGTGTCGGATAAGACAGTCGGTTCCTATGCCAGAAAGTTGGAGGCAACCGGACTGTGGCTCTGGGCTGGCCCGGCAAAAACCGGTACCGTAAATGGGTGGCGCGCGTCTTCACGAGGGAGCCGTCTTTTTGTTTTGTTTTGTTTTCTCCCCCTGCGATCGCGGCGACGATTTGCGGCTGATCACCTCCACCCCCCGGGAACTTGGAACAACGATCCCTTGTCGGCGGCAGCAGCGGAAGCCGGTGCGGAAGCGCTACGACTACGGCCTCGGCTCGGACGACGACGCCAACAGCGAGACGTCGAGCATGTGCTCGGATCGCTCGTACAGCTCGCGCGGCGGCGGCGGCGGCGGCGGCATGGGCGGCGTGGGCGGCGTGGGCATGGTGCTGGGTGCCCGCCCGGCGGAGGACGTGGCCGAGGTGCTGAACCACTGCGCTAGCCCCAACTGGGCGGAGCGCAAGGAGGGACTCATGGGCCTGCAGAACATCCTCAAGAGCCAGCGGCCACTCAGGTGAGAGTGGCGAGGCAGCGACAACTCGGGTGAGAGTGGTAGGGACAACGACAACAACAACGATGACTCGGGTGAGAGTGGTAGGGACAACAACAACAACAATGACGCCGGTGAGAGTGGTAGGGACAACAACAACAATGACGCGGGTGAGAGTGGTAGGGACAACAACAACAACGATGACTCGGGTGAGAGTGGTAGGGACAACAACAACAACAATGACGCCGGTGAGAGTGGTAGGGACAACAACAACAATGACTCCGGTGAGAGTGGTAGGGACAACAACAACAACAATGACGCCGGTGAGAGTGGTAGGCACAACAACAACAATGACTCCGGTGAGAGTGGTAGGGACAACAACAACAACAATGACGCCGGTGAGAGTGGTAGGGACAACAACAACAACAATGACTCGGGTGAGAGTGGTAGGGACAACAACAACAACAATGACGCCGGTGAGAGTGGTAGGGACAACAACAACAATGACTCCGGTGAGAGTGGTAGGGACAACAACAACAACAATGACGCCGGTGAGAGTGGTAGGGACAACAACAACAACAATGACTCGGGTGAGAGTGGTAGGGACAACAACAACAATGACTCGGGTGAGAGTGGTAGGGACAACAACAACGATGACTCAGGTGAGAGTGGTAGGGACAACAACAACAACAACAATGACGCCGGTGAGAGTGGTAGGGACAACAACAATGACTCGGGTGAGAGTGGTAGGCATAACAACAACAACAATGACTCGGGTGAGAGTGGTAGGGACAACAACAACAATGACTCGGGTGAGAGTGGTAGGGACAACAACAACAATGACTCGGGTGAGAGTGGTAGGCATAACAACAACAACAATGACGCCGGTGAGAGTGGTAGGGACAACAACAATGACTCGGGTGAGAGTGGTAGGGACAACAACAACAATGACTCAGGTGAGAGTGGTAGAGACAACAACAACAACAACAATGACTCGGGTGAGAGTGGTAGGGACAACAACAACAACAACAATGACGCCAGTGAGAGTGGTAGGGACAACAACAACAATGACTCAGGTGAGAGTGGTAGGGACAACAACAACAATGACTCGGGTGAGAGTGGTAGGGACAACAACAGCAACAACAATGACTTGGGTGAGAGTGGTAGGCACAACGACAACAACAATGACTCGGGTGAGAGTGGTAGGCACAACGACAACAACAACAATGACTCAGGTGAGAGTGGTAGGGACAACAACAACAATGACTCAGGTGAGAGTGGTAAGGACAACAACAACAATGACTCCGGTGAGAGTGGTAGACATAACAACAACAACAATGACTCGGGTGAGAGTGGTAGACATAACAACAACAACAATGACTCGGGTGAGAGTGGTAGGGACAACAACAACAATGACTCAGGTGAGAGTGGTAAGGACAACAACAATGACTCCGGTGAGAGTGGTAGGCATAACAACAACAACAATGACTCGGGTGAGAGTGGTAGGCACAATGACAACAACAACGATGACCCAGGTGAGAATGTTAGTGACATCAACTATGACAACAACAATGACAACACAAACTCACGTTAAGGTGCGGATTTTACAATGGGTGACCGGGTGACGCATTGCCCAGTAACCTTTCCACAGAGCTCCATAGTTTCGTTTTGTATTTCTCCGGTTCGATCTCTGCTTTACGTTCTCTCGTGTGTTCGTGTTTTATTTTTTGGCATTTGCAGTCGAGTCGAGATGAAGAGGCTTTGCGAAATATTCTCCAGGATGTTCTCAGATCCTCACAGCAAGGTAAACAATGTCCGGCCTGGTCCATGCGGTTACACGATGGACAGGAGCTCTCGGCTCCATCCCTTGCTACAAGGCACCCCCGCGGTGGCTAGGAGATGTTAACTACCTCGCCTGATATGCAGGAGGTCGTGGGTTCAATCCCAACCCTGACGCCTGCTATATATTTGGAGTTGGCATTTCTCTCATCATCATCACGGTGGCTAGCAGATGTTAACTACCTCGCCTGGTATACAGGAGGTCGTGGGTTCAGTCCTGACCCTGACGCCTGCTGTATGTTTGGAGTTTTCATTTCTCTCATCATCATCAGGGTGGCTAGCAGATGTTCACTATCTCGCCTGGTATGCAGGAGGTCGTGGGTTCAGTCCTGACCCTGACGCATGACTGTCTCACCGTGGTCGCGTGGATGTTTCCCCGGGTCCTCCGGTTTTTCCCTCCACATTTAGGATCACCGTCACGCGTTTGGAGTATTTGGCTGCTTTCCACCTGATGGTGATAAGCCCACTTCGTTGAGCTATCATTTGCGATGGCTTGGGTCTCTTCCGAAAAAAGAGCTGCAAAGCTCAGTGGACCTTAACCTGTCAAAAAGTTTAAATCGTAGTAATAAGTCCCTTCCGCCGTGTAAATATGACAGTGGCGCATTCGGTGGCCAAAGCAAACCGGCTCGTGATGCACACGCGATCACGACTCGCTCGTGCACAGCAGCATCGGTGCACTGCCTCTTAATTCCCAAGTGCTGCGGTGCGTCGTGGTTGCATTCGTAATTATTTGTGCGTGTCTTTTCCTTGTGTTGTTCCCGTGCGCTCATCGGTATTGTGCGTGTGTGTGTGCGTCTTTTTTTTCTCCATGCGTTGCTGTCGTGACATTCTCAACAGAGAGTAAGTGCCACCCCGCCGTTCTTTTTGGCGCCGCGTCAGCGACGTTCTTTTCGCGGCCTGGCGCTCGCGAGAGATGACGGTTTTTGCAACGAGGCGACTGGGCAGTCCGTGGAGCGATCGGTTGCCTTCGTGAGGTGTCGGGGGTTCGCTGGCAGAGTGTCGTGTGATCACAGTTGATCGAACTGTGTCCAAATGTCATGAACTTGCTCAAATGACCGGCCATTTGCTTTGAATTGAGAACATCCACGCTGCAAACGTAGCCCCCGGTGGGCGGACTATAATGCTGCCTTGCAGGACGGCGCCGCTTATCTGACCTTGTGCTGCAAAGTGATAGCTGCCACTTGGTGGGGGGGTCCCCTGTCGCACGGCAACCTCGGGATGTACTGCAACGGGTGGGGCGCGGTATCAGTATTGAGTCATCGACGACGATGTATGTACGTTGAACTTTTTCCGCACCGTTACGTCGTCAATCGTGCTAAGCGGAGGTGCGGGGGGGGAAGGACGACAAACTAAAGACAAAAAGCAGATCTAAATAAATGCGTTATCGGTGTCGTACAATGGTGTAGTGTATAACGTCGTGTGTAGTAGCGTAGTATATAGTAGCGTAGTGTATGTACATTGAACGTCTTTCACACCGTACGTAGCCAACCATGCCAAGTGGAGGTGCGGTGTAAGGACAACAAACTGAAGACAAAAAGCAGTTCTCAAAATCAATGAGTTTTCAATCTAGATGATTTCAAAGTGCGTAGCTCCCAGCGGCTTCCTTATTCTCGGGAAGGAAGAGCGCGTTCCAGACGGCCGCGGAAGCGCACACGGCGACAATGACGATGACGAGGCGCGCGGACCGATGCCCGGCTGCGTCTGGCGCGTGCGTGCATGGGTGCGTGTGTGCGTGCGTGCGTGCGTGCAGGTGTTCAGCCTGTTTGTGGAGACCCTGGTGGAGTTCGTGGCGGTCCACCACAACGAGCTGCACGAGTGGCTCTCCGTGCTGCTCACCCAGCTGCTGAAGAAGACGGGGGCCGACCTGCTCGTCTCCGTGCACGCCAAGCTGCAGAAGGCCCTCGACACGACGCGGTCAGCTCCGGGATTTTTATTTTGTTGTTGTTGTTGTCGTCGTCGTCGTCGGATTGACTCGCAAAGTACTCTTTTTTTTGTTTTAAATGACAAGGAGGTGGTTTACTTTGTTGAAAATTAGCGTCGAGGCAGTGGTACTCATCTGCCTTTTATTGTGCATAGCCCAGGAGCCAGTGGTGGAGATTCCACATGCACTGTGGCGCAGGGGGCGAGTCGAACGGCAATGCCGTGGTCATTTTCAGCGAAGCCAGAGGGAGGGATGCTGGGCTGGGTTATAGCCCCCAAACAGAAATTAAACTCTCAACCTTTCTGATTGCAAGCCTTTCGCTCCTCCACCGCTGAGTCACCTTTGCCCGGTTTTGTTTTATTTTGGCACGGGTAAAACCCGTTGGGTAATAAATGCAAATGTTTCAATGGGGACCTGGTTGCACCGTAGAAACCTGGTTTTTTTACAGCAACATGAATACGAAACAATCCCTTTTGTTTCGTTGAATCATAGAGGTTATGATACATTAGGAATATGGTTGGCCCTTGCTTTGCGCGTTTTTGCTATCACGCGCTTCTTCCATTCGGCAATTCTTTTCGCACAGAGCGGAACGCGCCCCGTTATATCATGCGGGGAACGCACGCCGTTGTAATGTGGAGCACGCAAGCGTTATAACGAGGGACGCTTACCGTTGTAACGTGAAACTCGCCCGTTGTAGCGCGAAACGCGGACTGTAACAACGCGGAACTCGCCGGTTTATGAGGTTAAATGCGCGCACCGTTGTGGCGCACCTCCTGAGCGGTCGACGACGAACTACTTTCTGGAGCTGCGCGGCTGAGCGGTTACAGTGACACGACGCGCGGAAGTATAAAATAACGCAGTGGCGGTGTACCCCCCGTTATTTGTCCCGCCATCCCACTGCGCAGTCGTAGTAGTAGTAGTACATTGCGTCTCGCCAAACAGCGATTCCTCGCTTAACGCGACACTTTTCGTGAACGCATCTACCGTCTTGAAACGAGCCATTATAATGATTGCATTTTAGTTAGCGGCATTCATGCAATTGCATCTCACAACGCTGCACATCGATTAGCCCGACCCCTTACACGGATGGTACCAAAATAAAAACCCCACTGCTTAGCAAATTAAAACATGTATACAGTGAGGTCTCAGAGTACGCGGGGGTGGTTAGGTTCCGTGTACCCACGCGTGATGCACGTCCGCGTGATGGCGGGGGTGGTTTTTCCTCTGCTTCCGGCCCCGTGCGTGCAGTAGCCAAAGTACGAGTCACAAAGTGTGAGTACGAATCGGGGGTGGATGGGGTGGGGGAGGGTCGCGTACGAGCGGGTCCGCATAATCTGAGCCCGCGTACTCCTGAGACCTTACTGTACATAAATAACGAGAGAAATAGAATCATCATTATTATTATTTCCTAATGCGTGTGCGTGTTTTTTTTTTTACTTTGCATTGCGCAGGACCTTGTTTCCTTTTGACCAGCAGTTCAGCATCTTGATGCGGTTCATCGTGGATCACGCACAGACCCCGAGCCTCAAGGTTTGTAAACGGGACGCTTGGACATTTATTTTTTTATTATCGCGCCTCGCAAGGCGTGGGGGGACCCCCCCCCCCGCCCCGCGTGGTCGAGCCGGGCACCCGTTTGAGCGAACCCCGGCGGCGAGTACCAGTCGCGGGGGGTTCCGTCTCCGGGGGTTCCTGCCACTGCTGCCCGTGACGAAACCGATTCGCTTGGCGACGCTCCGCCGGCAGCGCGGGCCCTCGAGTCGCAAAGCAAGGCAGCTCTCAAAGTACGCCCATCAGTCGGTTCACTTCATTTTCAGTTGATTTGTCAGCCATGCGGCTCTTGAATCGGGTGCAACCGCAACAAACAAAAAACATGAACAAGAAAAACATCTTAAAGTGACTACGCGCAACGGAAAAGTCCAGGAAAAAAACGGCAAAAATCCCAGTGGGATGCAAGTCGAACAATAACAGGCGCAAGACGATTTAGATTAAAGTTATCAGTCTAACTCTGTACTACAACAAACAAATATGGCCAAACCAAAACGTTTTCGAAATCAAAATAAAGCTATAAAAACAATGTAAACAGCGATCATAGGAACCGTGTGTGGCCCTGGAAGGAAAAATACAGGGTGCTTCGAAAATATGTTTTTAACACTTGTGTGGAACTGTCGTTTTTAATGGAAAAAGAACGGATAATAATACCCTGTAACACGATAACAAATGTGATGTTAATCGCTTCAAAAAGTCAAAGAGTCTCCCACTTGTTCGCAAGCGTTGTCAACACGTTGCCTGGAATCTTCTCCAGGTGGTCTCCAGAGCCACGAGGCGGCACATTTTTTTGTGGTTTTGTTGTAAATTCTCGGAAATGTTAACATTTTTTTGAAGCACCCTGTATATAATAGGTGACGCTTTTTTGGGGGGGGGAGGGGGGGGAAATGCCCTTATTTATAGCACGTAAATCCTTTGCAATGAAGAAGAGCCATTTCGGAAATGTTATCTGTCGTTTGTTTTTATATTTTTTATGCTACAGGGCACCACCACGGTGGCTAGGAGATGTTAACTACCTCGCCTGGTACACAGGAGGTCGTGGGTTTGATCCCAACCCTGACTCCTGCTGTATATTTGGCGTTTGCAAGTTCTCCCCGTGGTCGCGTGGATTTTTCTCCGGGTCCTCTGGTTTTTCTCTCCACATTTGGAAACGTGAATTTGGAGTATTTGGCTGCTACGAATGTCCACGTGTTCACCCACTGCGTTGAGCTATCATTTGTGGCCAGGCCGCTTCTAAAAAAGCGCTACATAGCTCAGTGGGCCTTACCTGGGAAAATAAAAATTGTTTGTTAGTGATTATACCAGGTTGCGTAAGTGAAGAGAGTTGATTCTCTCAGCCGGGTTACCAATGACTGCACATTAAAACGTTCACGTTATATTTGCTTCCACACATAATTGGGCAATTCCCATAACGATCGTCATTGTCACGCGACCCCGGACCGCATGAAACAAAGTTGACCTAAAGTCATCTCAGGAGCAGCTCTGCGACGATATCCGCTTCCTTGGGCTGTCTCTTTTTTATTGTTGTTATCTTTCACAGCTGAGTGTGTTCTTACCCCCCCAACCCCCGCCAGCACCTAGAGTACGACTCGACATGAAAGCGAAAAATCAATCCTCGTTCCGTAAATTATTATTCTTTTTCCGCGCTGCCGCAGGTCAAGATCGCCATCCTGAAGTACATCGAGAGCCTGTCGCGGCAGATGGACCCCACGGACTTTGTGAACTCGAGCGAGGCGCGGCTCGCCATGTCTCGCATCATCACCTGGACCACGGAGCCCAAGAGCTCCGACATCAGGAAGGTGAGCGATTTATATTCTTTCTCTGTGCGCGTGTGTGTGTGTGTGTACGTCTTGGGGAGCGGCAGTGGAGCAGTTGGCGCGGCTGCGCCTACGAACCTGGCGGCTCAAGTTCCATTCCCGCTCACGGCCAACACCGGTGACGATTATTTGAACCGCTCTTGGGCCTCCCCTAGGTCGACTCAGTCTTGAATGAGTACCCGGTGCGGTGTGTAAACATCGCCACCGGGGAGACAAAGGCGGTCGGGCGTGGTGCCGGCCACCACACCCCCTCGTGTGCCGTGCCGGCCTTCATAGGTGCTGCTCGCTAGCAGCACTTGCCCCAACAGTCTGTTCAGGCTATGCGGGGGATCTTTGTCTCGTCTACTCTTGAGAGCCCCGTCTCTGTTAAAGCTCTACGGGGTGGGGGCGGTGGTCGTCGTCTCTTGGTGGGGATCGCAGGCGGCGCAGGCGGTGCTCATCTCTCTGTTTGAGCTGAACACGGCCGAGTTCACCATGCTGCTCGGCGCACTCCCCAAGACCTTCCAGGCCGCCGCCACCAAGCTGCTGAACTCGCACATCCGTGCCGCCGGCATGTCCCCTTCGCAGGTACCGCATGGTGGGGGGGGTACCGCATGAGCACCGCGGGCATGTCCCCTTCGCAGTAACCGCGTGGGGGTTCCGCATGGGGGGTACCACATGGGAACCGTTAGCATGTCCCCTTGGTAGGCACCGAGTCTCGCCGCCAATGCGCACACGCGGGGATCGCAGTGCGCCACCCAGTTTGCATCCGTGCGCAGCTCCCAGTGTCCTCTTCGTTTTTATTTAACCAGGTGCGATCCGACCGCAGCCGGGTTAGTTCAGGGCAATTCCGTCGTAGGCACAAAATAAACGTCCCAAGGGATGATAAAAATACGCACCACGTTGTGGCGAGTGGGGTAATGGTCACCGGATGGACAGAGACGAGCTGCCAACCGTGGCACGGTGGAATCTCCCACAACCCCGGCTCAACGGCCCCCCCTGACCCTCATCGTGTAATCGAGTTGCTCACCGTCGCCGAGTTTGAGCAGGGTGGGCGGGGGACGGGGGTTCACGCCGACCTTCGTGCCGTCTATTGCCACGCTTTCGTCATTGCCGTCGTTGCCGCTGCGACCGCGGCGTTCACCGACGTGGCGACGGTGTCCCGTGCCGTGCCAGGGGTGGGCGAGCGGAGTGGCGCATCGCCCCTCGTCGCAGTCCAGCACAGGGCGGACGCGGCCGCTGACGTCTCCAGGGAGCGCGTCGTCCCAGGATTCGTTGTCCCTTGGGTACGCGCACGCACGCACGCACGCACGCACGCATGCACGCGTGCGTGCGGTCATCTGCACAGATTAACAAAGGTATCCCTCGTGTAGCCCACGCAGACTTTGTGCGTCAAGGTACTGTTAGCGAGCACCTATCAAGGCTGGCACAGTGCACCGATGAACAGGATGTGTGGCCAGAATTACACCGGGCCGTCTTGTGTCTCCCTATTCCTGCTATTTACGCACCTCCGATTAGCACAATTGGCTTCGTACGGCGCGAAAGAAGTTTAACATAGATACGAAGACGGGTACTCATTTATGGTTTTGTAGACCTTGAGGAGGGTCGGGACCGGTTTCAGATAATTACCGCTGAAATTAATTCCCGGTCGCTATGTTCGTAGCATAGTGTGCGCTAATCGCTGTACCACCACTCTCCGCGCACACACACACGTACAGTAAGGGAAAAAAGTATTTGATCCCCTGCTGATTTTGTACGTTTGCCCACTGGCGAAGAAATGATCAGTCTGTAATTTTAATGGTAAGTTTATTTGAACTGTGAGAGACAGAATAACAACAAGAAAATCCAGAAAAACGCATGTCAAAAATGTTATAAATTGATTTGATGGAAATAAGTATTTGACCCCCTCTCAATCAGAAAGATTTCTGGCTCCCAGGTGTCTTTTATACAGGTAACGAGCTGAGAATAGGAGCACACTCTTAAAGGGAGTGCTCCTAATCTCAGCTTGTTACCTGTATAAAAGACACCTGTCCAAAGAAGCAATCAATCAGATTCCAAACTCACGACCATGGCCAAGACCAAAGAGTTCTCCAAGGATGTCAGGGACAAGATTGTAGACCTACACACGGCTGGAATGGGCTACAAGACCATTGCCAAGCAGCTTGGTGAGAAGGTGACAACAGTTGGTGCGATTATTCGCAAATGGAAGAAACACAAAATATCTGTCAATCTCCCTCGGCCTGGGGCTCCATGCAAGATCTCACCTCGTGGAGTTGCAATGATCATGAGAACGGTGAGGAATCATCCCAGAACTACACGGGAGGATCTTGTTAATGATCTTAAGGCAACTGGGACCATAGTCACCAAGAAAACAATTGGTAACACACTACGCCATGAAGGACTGAAATCCTGCAGCGCCTGCAAGGTCCCCCTGCTCAAGAAAGCACATATACATGCCCGTCTGAAGTTTGCCAATGAACATCTGAATGATCCAGAGGACAACTGGGTGAAAGTGTTGTGGTCAGATGAGACCAAAATGGAGCTCTTTGGCATCAACTCAACTCGCCATGTTTGGAGGAGGGGGAATGCTGCCTATGACCCCAAGAACACCATCCCCACTGTCAAACATGGAGGTGGAAACATGATGCTTTGGGGGTGTTTTTCTGCTAAGGGGACAGGACAACTTCACCGCATCAAAGGGACGATGGACGGGGCCATGTACAGTCAAATCTTGGGTGAGAACCTCCTTCCCTCAGCCAGGGCATTGAAAATGGGTCGTGGATGGGTATTCCAGCATGACAATGACCAAAAACACACGGCCAAGGCACAACAAAAGAGTGGCTCAAGAAGAAGCACATTAAGGTCCTGGAGTGGCCTAGCCAGTCTCCAGACCTTAATCCCATAGAAAATCTGTGGAGGGAGCTGAAGGTTCGATTTGCCAAACGTCAGCCTCGAAACCTTAATGACTTGGAGAAGATCTGCAAAGAGGATTGGGACAAATTCCCTCCTGAGATGTGTGCAAACCTGTTGGCCAACTCCAAGAAACGTCTGACTTCTGTGATTGCCAACAAGGGTTTTGCCACCAAGTACTAAGTCATGTTTTGCAGAGGGGTCAAATACTTATTTCCCTCATTAAAATGCAAATCAATTCATAACAGTTTTTAACATGCGTTTTTCTGGATTTTGTTGTTGTTATTCTGTCTCTCACTGTTCAAATACACCTACCATTAAAATTATAGGCTGATCATTTCTTTGTCAGTGGACAAACGTACAAAATCAGCAGGGGATCACGTACTTTTTTCCCTCACTGTATACGCGCATGCGTACACGCACAACCATCCAGGAAAGCTTCGCTGAGCCTTCAGCATCGGCTGAAGGTAATGCTCGCGTGCCGCGGTTTGGAGAGGACTGGAGTTCCATCGGTCATGACGTACAAGTGCCTTTACACGTACAATTGCGGCAGCTGGCGTTATCTCAAATGACAATTACAATTGTAATTTACCATTGTAATTGTCTCATTGCACATGGCAAGGTAACGATTGTTATCGACCCCAGTTTTTGACAGGGCCCCGGCACTAGCGTGTGCGCCGCTTGTCAGGTGGTGCGGTTCTCGGTTCGGGGCCACAGCCCGCCCTGGTAAATTACCGTGTGTTGACCGTGACAAATACGCAATGTCTGCTTCACAGCGGATGTTCTGCGAAAAAAAGATCAGTAGGCTGTGTGCGTGGTAGTGACACGAGATCGATTCCCGCTCAACGGCCAACATCGGTGACGATTATCTGAACCGGTCCTGGGCCTCCCTTAGGTCGACTCACCCTCAAATGAGTACCTGGTGCGATGCGAAAAAGCATCGCCACTGGGGAGACAAAGGCGGCCAGGCGTGGTGCTGACCACCCACCCCCTTGTGTGCCGTTCCGGCCTTCATAGGTGCTGCTCGCTAACAGGACTTGCCGGCGTCGTAGTCCAAATTTTGCCACATTTAATTGATTTGAAAACACAAATCGGTCATGGGGCCCCTACTTGGAAATATCAGCAGGACCCTCCTGAAGGAGAATTCTTGGAGGCTCAGCGAGGCTTTCGTCGCTGAATAAATGCACGGACCAAACTCATTATTTTTCTACTTAAACCTTCGTGACTGCAGGAATTCATTTTCTTGGTTCTTTCGGTAAGAATACAAACTCATAATGCCACGGCAGACAGAAGGCCTGCGATTGTGTTGATCTGCAAATGTGTTTTCCCCCTTGTCGTCTCTTAACAACTTTCTCCGGTTGTACCTCGCCGTGCTTGCGTCCCGCCCCCCCCCCTTAACCGTTGATTACCCTCGACCTTGCCTGCGTTGACACTGCCTCTGTTGACTTCCTCTCTCTCTCTACCCCCCCTCCCTTCCATCTCTCACCGGGGTGTTTGCCTGCGTCCCTCTCTCCTGCACTAATTCCAGACGCCCCTGGGGTTGGGGTGCGGCCAATGGGCTGGTAAAGCATGCCCCCACCCCCGGCCAAACGCCCTCCAACCCTTCCCCCAGCACCCCCTCTTACAGCTGTGGCTTTCGACGAAATTCCACGCCCAGGTAACGCCGGTCTTAACCTCAATCCTAACGGTTAGTCCCCATGGCTGTCCCCTTTGCTGAGTGCGAACGCTTAACCGCTTACTCCATTCGCTCGCCCCTTGCGTCGGTAGTTGCCGTAGGCTGGACTAAGTAGGTACGGTCGTCGTCGGCTAAGACGTTGAACGGCAACTAAAAGCTTCTATCGCTATGTCACGCCTCGTCGCTAGAAATATGAAATATAAATGCTGAGCATCGCTTTGTAGGTTTCTTAGCAGCGGTTGTGCTGTGTATAGCTGCTCGATGCGTTTTGGGTTTGTGCCACATGAGCCGAATTTATAACTTCGACAAAGCTCCTGGCACGTGTGGGCGAAACGTCAGACGTCGTGCCGAAGCACAACCCAGCACAACCCAAAACTTATCGGAGAGATGAATGGCGATCGTTTTGACTTGTATGCCATGGCTTAATCCAGCTCGTGGCATTGCGTGGTGGCGTGGTGTGGGGTTGCGTGGAGTGGTTTGATGTGGCGTGGCTTGGTGTCGTTTGGCGTGCAGTGCACCTGATTACGACACGGAGAACATGAACTCCGACGACATCTACAGCTCGCTGCGCGGTGTCACGGAGGCCATCCAGAATTTTCGCTTCCGCAGCCAGGAGGACGCCACTGAACCCATCAAACGAGACGGTGGCGGCACTGTGAGTGGTGGCGGCACTGTGAGTGGTGGCGGCAGTGAGAGTGGTGGCGGCAGTGAGAGTGGTGGCGGCACTGAGAGTGGTGGCGGCACTGTGAGTGGTGGCGGCAGTGAGAGTGGTGGCGGCGCTGAGAGTGGTGGCGGCAGTGAGAGTGGTGGCGGTGCTGAGAGTGGTGGCGGCAGTGTGAGTGGTAGCGGCAGTGAGAGTGGTGGCGGCACTGTGAGTGGTGGCAGTGAGAGTGGTGGTGGCGCTGAGAGTGGTGGCGGCAGTGAGAGTGGTGGCGGCAGTGAGAGTGGTGGCGGCGCTGAGAGTGGTGGCGGCAGTGAGAGTGGTGGCGGCACTGAGAGTGGTGGCGGCGCTGAGAGTGGTGGCGGCAGTGAGAGTGGTGGTGGCGCTGAGAGTGGTGGCGGCACTGTGAGTGGTGGCGGCAGTGAGAGTGGTGGCGGCAGTGAGAGTGGTGGCGGCAGTGAGAGTGGTGGCGGCAGTGAGAGTGGTGGCGCTGAGAGTGGTGGCGGCACTGAGAGTGGTGGCGGCAGTGAGAGTGGTGGCGCTGAGAGTGGTGGCGGCAGTGAGAGTGGTGGCGGCAGTGAGAGTGGTGGCGGCAGTGAGAGTGGTGGCGGCAGTGAGAGTGGTGGCGCTGAGAGTGGTGGCGGCAGTGAGAGTGGTGGCGGCAGTGAGGGTGGCGGCGCTGTGAGTGGTGGCGGCACTGTGAGTGGTGGCGGCAGTGAGAGTGGTGGCGGCAGTGAGAGTGGTGGCGGTGCTGTGAGTGGTGGCGGCAGTGAGAGTGGTGGCGGCAGTGAGAGTGGTGGCGGCGCTGAGAGAGGGAGAGCCTTACTCTTCGCTATTTCTTAATCGAGTCCCTTGGACTTTTCGACTATTGCGGCATGGCTGTCCCCTTCTCCGATATAACTAAAGACACGCGGTACTTGCGCCGCTCGTGCAGCGCAAAGGTTGTCACCAAAGGTGCTCTGCGGTTGAGCTTTGTAAGCCTCACAGGATATTTCCGATAATTCACCCTTGATATCGGTGCGCGCTTGATCGAATCGCCGTGCGGAGCGAACCCTCAACCCGCCCCGCCGACCGTCTCTGTGCGCGACGCAGCTCTCCCGCGACGGGCGACTGTCCTCGTCGTCCTCCTCCGCGCCGGCGCCGGCCGTGTGCTCGAGCGAGCCGCAGCGCATCCCCCACCACCACCACCACCACCACAACCAGCTCCACCACAACCACGGTCCGGACGGCACGGACGGCGGCGGCCGCCCGGCGCTCGACAACAAGACGTCGCTGCTCAACACCCCGTCGCAGCACGGCCTGCTGACGAGCTCCCGCAACCACGTGCCTGGCGGATCCCCCGCCACGTTCAACAAATCCGCCCTGCGAGAGGCCATCTTCGACGACGACATCGAGCAATTTCAGGATGGTGGGCAGTCGCCTCTTTCACCCGTCTGTGCCCGGGCACCGCCCGAGGGTGGGACTCGTTGGGCCCCGGTCGCCTTGTTTGTTTGTTGTTGTTCCGCCTCCACCCCCCCTGCTGTGCTAAAACAAAACTACAATTTTTTTTATTTTACCAGGTAAGACACCACCACCAAGCTATACAGCTCTTTTTGAGATGCGACCTGGCTGTCACAAACGGTAGCTCAACAAAGTGGCTTATCATCGCGTGGATTTGTATAGCACCGAAATACTCTGATGTTCATTCTAAAAGTGGAGCCGGAGGAAAAAGCAACACGACCACGTGGAGAGAGACGCGCACACTCCAAATACACAGCAGGCGTTGAACCCATGACCTGCATACCAGGCGAGGTAGTTAGCATCTCGCCACCGTGCTTTTACCCTCTTTGGCACGGGGGCTTGCCCGCGGAGTTGTCCTCTAGCTCTCTCTTCTCTCGCGTAGCCGGGTGGCGGCGGTGGTGGCTCCGCTACGATATTAGCAAGCCCACTGGTGCTATGCACTTTGAAATCCTCTAGACCCCCCCCGTACCTCCAATTAGCACGGTTGGCTACGCACGGTGCGAAAGACGTTCTACATACGTACGTACATGCATACAAGACGAGCAAGAGGGGCACACGGGGCCACTTCTGCACCCAGACGAGGCTGCGTGTAGACCAAGTTCAACGTACATGGAGAATATGCGGGCGGTGGGGTGGCCCGAAAGGCGCCCGAGTTGGGAATCGAACCCAGGCCCTTTCTTCTTGCCGTGAGGCCTGAGAAGCTGCCGCCCCCCTCGCCCTGTCGCCCGATCGCAGACATCCCGCTGGACCACGGGGACAAGGTTGCCGAGCTTCTGCGGGAGCTGTCGGAGTGCGGCGAGTGCGTGGAGGAGCGCCAGGCGGCCCTGCTCGAGCTGCTCAAGGTCACGCGCGAAAACGTCATGGGGCTCTGGGACGACCACTTCAAGACCGTGCTGCTGCTCCTCCTGGAAGCTCTCGTGGACAGCGAGGTGGGTGTGTGTGTGTGTGCATGTGCGCGAGCACGCGCGCCCTGCCCCTCCCGGTACGCCTACGGACCCCGCCGACCCCAGTTCAGAGTCCCCCCCTCCCCCCCCCCCGCTCACGGCCGCAAACGCCGGTGGTGGTTGTTTCAGATTGAAAACTCGATTTGTTTCAAACTTCTTTTTGTGTGTTGAGTTTGTTGTTCCTCCCCCCCCGCCCCGCACCTCGGATTAGCACGGCTGACTACGTATGGTGCGAAAGAAGTTCAACATCATACATTGACTCACACAGAGACCCATAGACTTACACAGAGACCCATAGACTTACGCAAAGACCCATAGTTTGTTGTCCTTCTCCCGCACCTCGGATTCGCACGGTTGACTATGTACGGTGCGAAAGATGTTTAACAGCATAGATTCGTACATTTGAATCGGTCGTGGGCCTCCCCTTTGTACATATATTGAACTTCTTTCACACTATACGTAACCAGCCTTGCTAATCGGAGGGGCGGGGGGGAAGGTCAATAAATTAAACCTCAAAACGAGTACCTGGTGCAGTGTGGTGCTGGGCCCATCCCCCACGTGTGCCGTGCCGGCCTTCATAGGTGCTACTTGCTAAACAGTACTTGGCCCAACAGTCTGTTAAGGCTACACGGGGTAATCTCTGTCTTTGTGCACTTGCCCTACCGGTCTGTCCAACGCTATATGGGGGGGGGGGGGGGGGGGGGGGGGGGGAGGGAAGCTCGTCTCTCGTGCGTGCACGTGAACCCGGGCGAGTTCCGATTCACGCTCGCGCCCAACATCGCCAACAGAATATCCCCAGCGGTCCCGGGCCTCCGCTCGGTCAACTCGGCCTCAAATGAGCACCTAAGCAATTGGCTCGTAAGCTTAGGAGGCGGACGCACGCTCCTCGTGCGTAGCGCGACGGTCCGGAGAGGCAACGCGTCGTGTCGATGCCCGCCCCTCCCCCCCCCCCGCCGCCGACGTGGCATTGGTCGAAAGCTTTCTAACGGCACTGCCCTGCGTGTGTGCCCGCGCTCCCGCGCCCCGACAGCCGTCCATCCGCGCGCTGTCTCTCCGAGTGCTGCGTGAAATCCTGAGGACGCAGCCATCGCGCTTCAAGAACTACGCCGAGCTCACCATCATGAAGATCCTGGACGCTCACCGTGACCCGCAGAAGGAGGTGAGCCGCCCCCCGGGGGAGAAACGGGGGCGGTGACGCGCGTCCCCAGCTGGTACCGCTCGTTGTCGCAGAGGCTCGCAGTTCGAATCCAGTGGCTGCCCCTGGTTATAACTGCGGGTGTTATAATCGTAGTACTGCTGCGTAGGTCTCCCTCGCCGCGATTCAGTGTTTGTACGAAGTTGCACAAAATGTTGCAATTATTTTTACATCTTTTTTTCACATTGCGCTATCCTCGATCGCATTCGCGGGGTGGCACATTGGTCTTGCACTGTAAAGAAAGGGAGTATTAGCGGGTGGATTGATCTCCATCTGTTTCCATCTTTGCGGCGTCACACACGTTTTCCCGTCTTCCTCCCACAAGCATGAACGCTCATCGATCGCCTAAGAACATCTGACTATACAGGGGACTGCAGAGCTTGGACAATTGCTGGCGTCGGCTCACCCGGCCCAGTGGCTGCTGCTGCTGCCCTTGCCGGCTTCGTCCGTGATTCCTCCCCGCGCCTTTCGAGTCGTTCAGCCTTCGAGAGCGAGCCGAAAACTGTGCGATGCTGTACAGGTCGTTTTTTCTAATTACTCCAATTATCGTTGGTGTCGTTATTATTGTCGCTCCGTCCAGGTGCTGCGGGCGGCAGAGGAGGCGGCCACGGCGCTGGTGTGCTCCATCTCACCCGAGCAGAGCGTCAAGGTGCTGAGCCCCGTGGTCCAGACGGCCGACTTCCCGATCAACCTGGCGGCGATCAAGATGCTCACGCGCGCCTCCGAGCGCATCTCGCGCGCCGCCCTCGTGCAGCTGCTGCCCGACGTCATCCCCGGCCTCCTCCAGGTTTCCCCACTTTCGCTCGCGCCCCGCGATGCCGCCACTGCCGCACCGTCGTCGCGTTGGCTTAGCGCGCCGGACTTTGCCGTCCGGATGCCGCCGGTTCGATCCGATCCGATCTCCGGGGGCAAGTGCCTTTTGATGTTTGGTTGTAAATTCCGGCAGCTGGCTCCCATGGGCGCTGAGCGGGCGTGAATAGCACTCGTGCGTGGGGTTGACACAGAGACTCGTAGGCTCGCACAGAGACCCACAGACGCGCACGGACACTCACAGATTCGCACGGAGACCCACAGAATGGCACAGAGACCCACAGACTCATACAGAGACCCACAGACTCATACAGACACCCACAGACTCATACAGAGACCCACAGACTCATACAGAGACCCACAGACTCATACAGACACCCACAGACTCATACAGAGACCCACATCCTGGCACAAAGACCCACAGACTGGCACAGAGACCCACAGACTCGCACAGAGACCCACAGAGACCCACAGACTCGCACAGAGACCCACAGAGACCCACAGACTCGCACAGAGACCCACAGACTCGCACAGAGACCCACAGAGACCCACAGACTCGCACAGAGACCCACAGACTCGCACAGAGACCCACAGACTCGCACGTACGGTGCTACAGCAGTTCAACATACATACATACATCTAAATCATTATTGCATTGTACTGTTTTTTAAACTACGTTAAAACGCCTTGAACGAAAGGTGCTCTATTATTGTATCTGGTATACAAGAGGTCGAGGATTCGATCCCAACCCTGATGCTTGTGTGTTTGGAGTATGCGTGTTCTCCCCGTGGTCGCGTGGATTTTTCTCTGGGTGCCCCGGTATTTCCCTCCACATGTACAATCGACATCATGTGCTTATAGAGTATGTGACTGCTACTATAAATTGTGATGATGATAAGCCACTTTCTTGAGCTATAATATGCGATAGCCAGGTAATAAGAGCTACATAGCTCAGTGGGCCTTACCTTGTAAAAGAAAACATTTCTAGTTTAGTTTAAATTTAAGGATGCTTGGCCCGTTCCTTGAAAAGGATAGCGTGTTAATTGACTGTGGGACGAAGATGGCGTACACAGATTATAACCATTGTGGGGTAATCATCTCAAAACCCCTCCTTTTTCTGCCACCTCGAGATGTCCCTGCATGGGAGGTGCGGTATGGATACTGTAGTGAACTAATTGCTTACCATTAAATCGGTTTTTTTTTGTTATTACAACAAATGGCACTGACCGCGCGGGCCGCTCCCGTCTCCGCGACGCGCAGGGCTACGACAATGCGGAGAGCAGCGTGCGCAAGGCGAGTGTCTTCTGCCTGGTGGCGGTGCACGCCGTCGTCGGCGACGAGCTGAAGCCTTACCTGGGCTCGCTCACGGGGAGCAAGGTGAGCGGGCGCGGTCGGGCGCTGGCGGGCGGGCGGGCGGTAGGGCGGCAACTGCCGCGTTCGCAAAATGCGATTTCGCACACCCTCGCACTCAAGTGAGTCGGGGAAGCGGACACGCGCCGCGAGGGTGGCGGGGAGGGCCCGGGAATCAACTTCTGAAACCGATTGCGCCGTGCGACTGGAGCAACCCGCAACCCCCTGTGATGGTGAAGTCGCACGTTGCGGTCGCACGCTCGCTGGCCACCGAACAAAGGCGGTCTCACGGCATCGCGCGGCACTCCCGCGGCCGTCTGGAACGCTCTTCCTCGCGTTATTGGGAAGCCACTGGATTTTATGCGCTTGTAAATCTAGATTGAAAAGCAATTTCTTAAGAATTTATTTTTTAGTGTTTAGTTTGTTGGCCTTCCGCCCCCGCACCCGCACCTCTGGTTTAGCACGGTTTTGCTGCGTATGGTGCGAAAGAAGTTGAACGTAATACTTTACAGGGGGTCGTGGGTTCGATCCCGACCATGACTCCTGTATATTTGGAGTTTGCATGTTCTCCCCGCGGTCCGCGTGGATTCTCCTCCGGGTCCTCGGGTTTTTCCCTTCACATTTTTAAATCAACACGTGTTTAGATTATTTGTCTGCTGTACATTGCCACGTGATAAGCCACCTCGTTAAGCTATAATTTGTGGCCAGGTCGCTTCTGGAAAAGGGGCTACGTAGCTCAGTGGGGCCTTACCTGGTAAAATAAAAAAAACTTTATTAAAATCGGTAAAGGCTGCCGAAATCTCGCAACGTTTAACCCCCTGCCGTCCGTTCTTTTCCGCAGATGAAGCTGCTCAACCTGTACATCAAGCGAGCCGCGCAGAACAGCAGTGCCGAGTGCGACAACCCGATGCTCAGCTGAAGCTTCCCGCGACCGAGAAGCCTTTCCCCGGGGGCCGCGATGTGTTGTCTGTTAACCCGTGGTTGGCGCCACCCCCACCGCCGTCACCGATGGCAAATGCGCGACCGTACGGGAGACGCCGTTAGCCCCTTGATTGCCCACGAGTCAAGTGACCGTGACGTCTCGAGTGACAATCTGTAAAAAAAAGAAAAAGTTGCAAAAAGTGTAAAAGCAAAGAGCCTGCCACGTATACACAGGTTCGTTTCTAGCAGCGTGTGTCAGCCAGTGTGTGTGTGTGTGTAGGGGGCCTCGCTCCGGATCGGTCGACCCATGGCACCTGGGTCTATCCCATGACCTCGTGCCAGCGAGCCTTCGACACTTCACGTGGCCTCACAGTGCAGTTGCGCCAAACCTGGCACAAGCGCCGTGGCGATGTCACCGGCACTTAATGGCGAATGGCGGCTGCTGTTGTGTGTTCACGCGTGATTTTTTTTTATTACAAGGTAGAGACATTTCTGTACAGTAGCGGATATTCTGATAGACAGGATAGCCATGTGGGGTGGGCGGGTGGTCTGACAGCCACAATTGAAACTTACCAAATAATAGGAATTATAGTGCTTTTCACCCCCTGTATGAGCAACGGAAGACCATGTTGGTTGGAGCCCTTGTAATGTTCACAATGCAAGACGCACCCTAACGCATTGCATTCAACACCGCTCCTGTGCCCGACAGCTGAGTGCCTGCGATTATTATTCACATAGGCCGCGTGGCAATATTGTCCATAGCCCTTTCAGCGGAAGACGCGGTCTGGTTGACGGGACAGCTCTTATCTCGTAGGTGCATACCTAGGTTGTGTCACACGTTCTCCGGGGCAAGTTTGAAGCTTTGTAAATTAGAAAAGAAAAAAAAAGAAAAAGACTTTGAAGTCACATTCATAGCTTGTCGTTGCGTCGACGCAGTATTAAACCGTATGGAGGCGACATCACCAGAGTGTCATAATCGCGTGCTTTTACTGTCTAACGGGGTCGTTAAAAAGTCCACGCTACGATTAACAAAGCTTCCAGATCAAGTCCGGATAGCTCAGGACACGGCCTAGGTTCTTAGGATGCGTTCCCTATTTTGGGAGAATAATAAAAATGAACATTGCTCTTTGTTGCGTCTGAAACTGTGATGCCACATGATGTCACTTGCGCGCTTTTTCGCGAAAAGTGCCATCATGTGACATCATTTTGATGGTAACGTGGCGTCACTGGCTTAAAGCCGTGAAAGTGTAAAAGGAAATAGCTTCGATTAAAATGGTTTTACGGATGGAAATTCATTGGTTCATGTTTAGAATTATTACATTGTTAAATACAAATCTGTACATTTAGCTGATTAACAATTTGACGCCTTAAACCCCCCCCCCCCCCCCCCCCCAATACATTGAAATACGAAATCGGGCTTCAAACTCCGGAGCAAATTGAATCCGAACTTCGTCCCTGGCAGTTAATTCGCCGTAATAATTTCGTTTGTTGACCCGGGAAAGCCTCGCCGAACCCCGTGACTTTTTTTGTTTCAGGAGAAACCTTGCCAGGTTCCTGAAGGGGGAGTGGGTGGGGTGGGGTGTGGCGATTCCTGCACGTAGTCCCCATTGAGTAACTTGCCGTGTAACCTCTCGCAACGTGCGGACCGGCACGCACGACAGCCTAGGCCCTCGGAGCGATCACCAACGTCCGCGCATGCGTCGAGCTGCTTTTGCGCGCCTTACTTAGCCAACCGACCGTGCTAAACGGAGTGCGCGCTGGGGGGTTGGGGGGGAAACGTATTTTTTTGCCTGCTGCGCGCAAGCAAAAATAACCGCGGACGTAACTGGGGCGTCCGCTGGGATTCGAAGAGCCGCGAACCTCTGCCAATAACAAGGCGGTGACTGGCCGTGTCACTGTCCCCCCGCCCCCACAGCGACGCATCTACGGGATAAGAGCCGTGCGTGCGCGCGCGTTTTATTTCACGTGCGGCACCTTCCCGTAATCGCTCGCCGCGCGCCGTTGCCTGGCCGCTGTGCCTGCTGACCATTGTACATAGACGTTAATCATTGCTTTGCTTCACCGCACATCGGCAGCAAGGGACGCGTGCGCGGTGCTCTGTCGTGTACATAGAGCTGTGTCGTTTTCAGCTGTTACATGTACATAACTACGAGTGGTTCGGAGTGAACTGGTGAGGCCCCCGTATTCACCGTTAACTCTGTATGGCAGCAGAGGTGTAACGATTCGTCGATTTAATGTGAATTCTTAACGCTCGCGACACGCGTGCCCGATCGCGTGGCGGTTAAGCATTCACGCGTCACTATTTGTGTCGCATCATAATAATTACGCTTGCTGATCCGGGGAAGGGCTCGCCGAGTCTCAAGTGTCTTTTTTTTTCAGGAGGGTCCTGCCGAGGTTTCGCAGTCGGCGATGACGACACGTTTCCCAGCGAATTTAATTTGTGGTTAATATGGCAAATTTCTTGGAACCATGACGCCGGCAGGCAACGGCCCAACTCTTGTGAGTGATGTCACGGGATACCCTAACGTCCCTCCGTGAGCGAAGCGAGCCGACGGCGCGCATCTTTTTTTAAAGATTAGTACGATCGCAGTATTAACCAGGGCGGCCTGCTGGAGTCGAACTACAAGCCTCTGTGGCAAGGAGTGGACACGCTACAGCCGGGCCATGTGGACTACCCCCTCTGTATTTTGTATTTAATAGATTAACGTGACGGCTGCAATCACCGGAGGCCACTACATTCACCAGACTTTAGAACTGAAACAAAACATTTTTAAAAACTAAACTGAAACCCTGAACCGCGGCGATTCATAGAACCGCCGGGGTGGGTGAATCGTTAACACTTCCATGAGGGGTGGGACTTGAGAGCAACACAGTCATTGTTTCAGGGTAACATTTGATCGCAGGTTTTGTTGACAGCTAAAGAACACGACAAATCGCGCGTAGAGTTAGGGGGTTTGTTTTTTTTTCCCCCGCGTTGTGCGCGTAGAGGCTTCTCATCATCGTCGTCTTTCCGCTCGGAGGAACGGACGCGCGCGTTGTGCGCGCGACGGTTCCGATCGGCGTGCGAGCGCCTCAAGCTTCGCGACGAATCGTCTGTTCCCGCCGCCGCGGTTTTATAACGACGGGGATGGGGTTCTTGCGACCCGGTGACGCGTTTTGCAGAGCACAAGGGGCGTCCGCTCCCCCGCACGCCCCCCAGCACCACGCGCCCGTACCCCCACGTCACCACGAGTGCCGATGTGTGAAGCAAGCGGTTTCAATTCTAACCCCCGCCCCGCCCCGCCGAACAAATGTGGTCATTCCGAAGAGTCGTGAAAACTGCCTTTTTGAGATTTGCGAATGCTCCGAAATAAGAAGAATAGTTATGGGGGGGGGGGGGGGGGGGGGGGGGGGGGGGTGCGGGAGCAAGGGGCTAGGATGTTGAAAGAAAAAGAAATGATAAGCAATGATCCTAATGTGAAGCATCGCGATGATTTTGAACGCAGAGATGGTGGGGTGGGGTGGGGTGGGGGGGGATCATCCGTTTTTATATTAGATATTACATGGGAATCATTTATAGATAATTTTAAGAAGAGTGATATTCGTGTAAAGCTTTTGTAAAATTGGAATTCGTATATATATACACGTATGGTCATTTACAACATTTTTAGAATGGCATTTTAACAAAAAAAATATTCACACCGACCACCTAATTCACATTTTTACCCCACCATGCACCCCACCCTCCCCCTCCCCCCCCCCCCGTGTGTACAAGAAATGTAATGTTTGATAACCTAAACTCGCGTCTACTTACCCTCAACCCTATTCCGCAACGCTAGTGAGCATTCCACCGCGGGTTTAACCACAGGTAGGCAGGCACGCACCGCGCGCTTGACCACAGCCTTCTTTAGAGCTGTATATCGTCATTCCGCGACCTCGCCCAACGGGACCACCGAGAACGCACGCGGAGTGAAGAGGTCAAAAATTCGGACATTGGGCTCCCCCCCCCCCCCCAAGGGAGGGGCTCATTACGGGTCTCACAAGGAACCTCCGTGGCCATGCCAGTAATCTTCCCTGGGGCGCCTCCAGCCTCTGGACCTCCACGCACCTCTTGGGGGGGAGGGGCAGCTCTGCAACATCCGCAACCTCCGCATCCACACCTCACCGACGCGTTTTTATCCCCGCAGCGACGTGATCCATCCCCCGCGTGTAGTTAGGAACCGGAGCCGTCTCTCCCCGTCTTGCGATTTAACGTTTTTGTTGTTTTCATCTGCGTCGGCACGAAAATGCGCCCTTCGGTGATGGCGATGTTGCCCCGCGCCTGGAACGACGCTGAAGTTGTGCCGCGCGAACACGGAAACCAAGCGCCGTGCGGCTGTGCGTCCGCTGATCCCGGGCAGTATTTTGTTGCCCTCCGCGCTCGTGTAGCCCGTTCGGGTCCAGTGTTTTGTGGCGGCGAGGATAGATCCCGAACGTCTGTTTGCCGCGTTGAACATTCCGCCGCTCCCGTAGTGTTCCCGGTTGACTCGGTTTATAAAACATTCCTTACGCGACTGTGAAAATACCATCGCTTGGCCAATATTTCTCCCTCCCCCACACCACCACCACCCCCTCCCCCCCCCCGCGTTGTAGCTTGTTGATCATGCCGACGTGGTCGCGCTGCTGCAGAGAGTGAGACGCGTGCGGCGCTCCGGTTTGACGGCCACTTTCCGCACCCCGTGGACACACGGAGACATTGCCCCCGGGGAGGAAGCCGGAAAGCCGCCGTCGAGTTTTGGGATGTGGAGATTGCCAGTGAAGGTGCAGCAACGTCGGGCCAAACGTCGGGAATGGTTCACCTGGGTCGGTGCATTCTGCAAAGTATAATTCTCGCACGGTGACTTTGTGGTAGTTACATTTCCCTGCCGTTCCTTTTGTAAGTTTAATGTACATTTGTAGACATCAAGGTGAAAACACGTTTGGCCTTCGACGCCATTTCAGTCACGTAAATTAATTCTACGTTTTTATAACTGGAAAGCTACAGCTGATTACTTTTTTCTTCTTCCCAAGCGTCCGTGATCGAGATTTGGACTTGACGATAGCGATATGCCGTTGGAAACGTTCAAGACGTCAACAAAACGGCTCCAAAACTCTGATGTTTTAAGGAGTTCGTGTAATTGTTGTACGAGCAGGCAGACATTCATATCAATGTAACGCAATACAATGTTCCCATGGCTTGCTGTGCACTATAGAATATTAGCAAAAACTAAGTTGCTATATTAATGCATAGAAACTATTGGATTTTATATTCATGGACTCGTAATACATGGACATTACATCACCGATGAATGTCCGTTCCACTAGAGGCCGCGGTCCTTTTCCTGCCCTTTCCACAAAAAATGCAGAGAAAATTAATACACGCGCACAGTTTTAATAAGGTTTGAACAAATTGCACGTTTTTTTATATGAACGGGGACGGAAATGTCTCGTCCTAATAGGCCATAGTTCACCGCAACAACAACAAAAATTATATACAGCCCTTTTTCAATCTCATTCCACTCCATGTTCATGCAGCTTGTTTGACCATACTTCACCATAGATGGGGTCAATGAAAAAGAACACATTGGTGAAGTGGTCGCCTCTCAGTAAACATGGCCCAACGTTGCGCCAAGGGTTCCAAACCACATGCCAACGTTGGGTCAACGTTAGGCCAAGGGTTCCAAACCACATGCCAACGTTGGGTCAATGTTAGGCCAAGGGTTCCAAACCACATGCCAACGTTGGGTCAACGTTGGGCATCTGGTTTGGAACCCTTGGCCCAACTTTGGGCATGTGGTTTTCCCGAGGGCTGAGTCTGGTTCAGATCTCGAGAAATTCGATGCTTATAGCCACGGCCGGGAATCGAACTCGGGATGGTGGTCGGTGGGGGTGCCACTGTGTTCATAGTGCAGCGATAGTGTAGCGGTTAGTGCACTGCGCTATGAACCTGGCGACCTGGGTTCGATTCCCGCTCACGGCCAACACCAGTGACGATTATCTGAACCGGTCCCGGGCCTCCCCTAGGTCGACTCAGCCTCAAATGAGTACCTGGTGCGGTGTGTAAACATTGCCACTAGGGAGACTAAAGGCGGTCGGGCGTGGTGCTGGCCACCCACCCCCTCGTGTACCGTTCTGGCCTTCATAGGTGCTCGCTAACAGCACTTGCCCCTACAGTCTGTTAAGGCTATATGGGGGATCTTTGTTATAGTGCAGCGCACCTTCCGCTGTGCCACCACTCACCGCAGTCCGCTTGTAACCTCGACACGTAATGTGGCACTGGATATTGTTTTTTTTACGACGAGGCTGTCCAATAAAGAACAGATTTAATACTCGTTGGTTCTTTCGGTAAAGTCACGTAGGTAGAAAAAGTAATAGATCACGACGTTTCGATCGCCACGCAAGCAATCGTCTTCAGGTGGGAGACGATTGGTTGCGTGGCGATCGAAACATCGTGATATATTAATTTTTATACCTACGTGACTTTACCGAGAGAACCAAAGAGTAATGGATTCCTGCCGTCACGAAAGCTTCAATTAAATCTCGACTTAAAGCTTTCGTGACTGCGGGAATTCATATTCTTTAGGTCTTTCGGTCAAGTCACGTGGATAGGTTCAAAGAAAATAACAACAAAAAACTACGACGTTTCGATCGCAACACGAGCGGTCGTCATCAGGAATTTGTTATTTTATTTGAACCTATCGACGCGACTTTAGCGAAAGACCCAAAATATAAAGCACAGATTTGTTTAGTTTTGCCTGTGACCTTTGTGGCCAGCTCGTCCGCCACATTTCGACTTTCTCTGCCTCCACAATAGAGGTGGGGATTTTTTTTGGTTGGGGTTATATCGCGATAAATATATAAATGTGTCGTTAAACCCGCCACCACCCGACACAGCCGATTAGTAAAGTTTTGTCACGTAACACAACACGTGTCAATTCGTCACGAGTACAGCAACCACCGGTTGTGTGTTGGAGAGTGAACCCACAACATTTCCGATTTCTCTGCCTTTTTTACTTCGTGTGCGGGCATCTCACGGGTTGCAACGGCGAGTGGCTTCTTCATTTGCAGTGGGGTTCCTCATGTCGGACCTTTTCATGCCGGTTGCCGCAATAGTTGGTTTCAACAGCTATATCTTTCAGGTGATATATACACACCACACCACACACTTACTTGGGCGTTAATTTCTGTATTTGTACAAAATAAATGCTTCCGTATCACGTTGTTATTGCTCACGGTCTCTCTCTGGCTTTATATTTAATTTTTTTTAAACACAACTGCAGCAGCGAGACGTCATTCGCCACCCAAGTGGCGGCTGACGTCACCGCGGCGCTTGTGCCAGGCTAGGTGCACCTTGAGCCGACAAAGTGTCGAAGGCTCGCTGACGGAGGAGGTCACAGGAGAAACGAGGGTGTTGTGCGTTGACTCAGAAGACCAGCAGATGCACCACCTGTGCTTCCTACTGTGCCAAATTTGCTGTGTTTTATCCGCCCGGCACGCCGCTCGTTGTTGTGAGCGTCCGCTCATCCGCCCTCCGCTATTGCTGGAGGGGCTACTGCCTCCCAATTGTCTCGTAGCAGCGTCCTTCACGAGCCTCCTCATCCGCAGAGGCCGATCCTGATACCGCTGATAGAATAACCGGTCTTCGGCAAGTCCACTCAGCTCCACATCGTCCTGTACCGATCGCATCGGTACACCCCTTTTCCTCGCCGGGGAAAACCACAGCACTACCCGAGGCACGCACGCAAAGAAGTGTCCGGACGTGTGACCACACCGGTAACATGCAGACAAATAAGTAATATTTAAAAAAAAGACACGCTTTAATGAAATGTACCGTGCTCGTAATGGAAGAACTCCACGACTCCAGGAAGTGGCCCCGAAGCTTGCCACAACGTAAGGGGACCGTGGTGATTTACAGCCAGCGTGAGTTGAGCGTGGACAATTAGACCCAAGCCGAAACATAAGATATAAAAAAGATGGTTTATTTTTTCTAATGATAGAATATAGTATTGTCATCAGTATGACATGAGTATACCCAGTTTGCAGTCGATACCACATTGGGAAGTGGGTTAAAATTTAGTTACAAGATTTGAGGATACAACAACAGTGAGTTAAATAAAAGCGTGTAAGAATAATACTGGTAGGAACCTCCAGGTTACTCCACCAGCCCACAGGGGATTATTGTGTCCGTCCGTCGTGCATCCAACAATGGGAGGGGCGGGGAGGGTGGGGAGGGGCTGGGTGGGGCTGGGTGGGGCTGGGTGGGGAGGGTGGGGCTGAGTGGGGGGTGGGAGGGGTGGGGCCGGGTGGGGAGTGGCTGGTCACCCCGTGGTGCCCTTATAAAACTCAACGTTTCACCAACTCACGCCGGCTTGTGCCCGCCCTCACAGTCGGGCATATTGTGCGGAATACACCACGTGGTGGTGCCGTTGTAGACCCTGGCCATTGACCGAGCAACCCAACGTTCCCGCCAGCTCCCTCCGCAGGAGAATGTGTAATAAAAGCGTGTAATAATAATAAAAAAAGAGTCTCCTTCGGATGTGTCGTCTGTCTCTCTGCGCGCCAAAGGTAAGATATGACGGCACAGGTTGCGTGACCCACCACGTCATTATTCGCACAGTCTTCTGCGTTGATTCAGTATAGGAGCATAAAGGAAAGGAAGGGAGAGGTAAGAATAGGAAGAGGTCGAGAATAGGTTGGGGGTGGGGTGGGGGTAGTGACAGTCGGTTAGTAGTGAAGGAGTTTAACACGCAGCGGGCTTTCACGACGAATATTATTCATAATAAAGGTGTTTGGGTTAGATCGCGTAGGTGTAAATGTGTCGTGACGCTCCACACCACCCGACACGGCCAATTAATTAGGGATTTATCTTTTTGATTCTCTCGGTAAAGTCACGTAGAATGGAAACGCGACTTTACCGAAAGAACCAAAGAAGATTAATCCCTGCAGTCACGAAAGCTTTAAATCGAAATTTAATTAGGGATTTGTCACGTAAACAAAACGCCAGTTACCAGTATAGT